CAGCATCTCACAACAAGAAGGATCATCTGTCATGAACTCATCGCTACAATCAAGATAATGAATTTATTCATCGATGCCAGAAGTTTCCTCAGGCCTCTTTGTAATCACAGTCTGGGACACACAAGCCACCGACAAATAACCACGGATGTACTTTCTGTGGCTTTAGTTTACATTTTTTAGAATTTGTATAAATAGAAACCTAGACTGTATGCTCTTTTTGCCTGTCTTTTTTCACTGAGCAAATTTACTTTGAGATGACTGCACATTGTTGGCGGTAGGAACAGGAAATTGCACAGACGTGGTATATTCTTTCTTTAGGTAGACAGAATTTCAAGTTGAGTCTTCTTTTTCCAATAACAAATAAAGCAGCTGTGAACATATGGTTGTACCACTTGCGTGGACATATATTTTCATTTTCTCATGTATGTTTCTAGGAGAGACATTGTTGGATCACATGACAGATGACCCTTCTTGTTGTGAGACACTGAAAATGTTTCCCAAAGTGGTGTACTCATTAGCATTTCTACTACCTATGTGACAGTTCTCTTGCTCCTGTACGTTTGCACTCTTGATGTGCAAAAGTGTTTTCATTTTAACTTTTCTGGTGGGTGGTTAGTGATACCTCATCATGGTGTTATTGGTATATCTATAATAAATAATGTTATTAACATTTTTTCTGTACACTTATTTGCTCCTTGTACATCTTACTAAATTTTTAAGTTAAGTTTATTTTAAGTGATGTGTAAGAACACAAAAAATGTACATATTAATGGAGTCCAGTGTGATAGTTTATATTCTGTTATCAGAATGACCATATCTATCTCCTCACACATTTATTACTTGTTTATGGTGAAAACATTCAAAATCCTTCTAGATTCTTCAGAAAGACATCAGAGAGTCACTATGTTAACCCTGGTGCCAAGTTGTGAGTACCCTGCCTTGCACTGTCCAATGGCCTTCACTTCCTAAGAGGCCAGCCTCCTCATTTGAGAGACCTCAAGACCTCTGGCCCCCCTCCCTGTGTTCTATCTCTGAAACACTTTACAGATGTTCAAGTTGGGGCTATTGCAGGCTTCACTTCATTTGCTTCCTCTCTATAAATATCTATGTTCTATAATATCTGATGAGTTATCTCTAAAATTATCATTTTGTATATTTTGTCATTTTTTAATGGCTTTTAGGTCAAATTCTAATTTTTACATTCAATTTTATCAGCAAGCCAATGGCATTTATTGAAATCTTTCTTAAATGTTTCATTTGAAGAAACATTGCTGGCTGGTTGTTGGCTTTTGATAGAAAATAAAGAGATTTTTTGATAAGTAGATGAGAAAAAAAGAAAATTGTTGTCACTTCAAAATAAATCACACTAATAATCTTGTTTGCAGTTTTGGTTTTAACTCTCAAGGTTTTTGATATTTTTAGATTAAGAATTTATTGAGCACAGATAATTAAATAATGTAGGAATCTTTAATGTTATTTTCTAATCAGTTAATTAGCCCAATTATCATTCAAAGTCTGACATAAATTTAAGAGGATGTCCATAGGAGAGTTATGCAGCTTTGGATGCAGTTTGTTTTCTTGCTTTATAACGTGGGCAAGTGGAGCCAAGAGGAGGAGGGGTCCAGCTAAGCTGCAGCAGCAGCCATGGGATTAGAGGGATTTGTTTGCATTTCATGACATTTTCTTTGAAGTGGGACTTATAATTTAGTTATAGTTTGAACAGTTTATACCAATGCACTTAATTCTTACCTAAAGAATATGCATAATTGAAAATGTATAGACCTTAAAAATTTTAATTATATTTAACAAGAGGAATAATGCATTTAAAAATAGGTATGTTCACATCTCAGCAAGAATGTTTCAAACATTTTTTTTCACCTAATCTAAAAAAAATTTAACGAACTGCTCAGTGAGTCTAAATAAGCATTTACAATTTAATAGTTTACTCTTCACTTCTGAGGATAGCTATTTCTTAGATAAAGAAGAGCATAGATCAACAGCAAGCAAATGTATTTATAATACAATGATTAATAACTTTAGAGAATTGATTAAATTTGAGAAATACTAGGATGTTCCCATAGAAAGACATTTAACTCCAGACATAACTTCCATTTCTCATTCATGATAAACTATGGAAAACACCTGAGTCACACATGAACTTGAACTTGCTCTGACACATAATTGGTGTGGTATCATCTCACTGCATTATTATTATTATTATTTTGGAGGGGTACCAGGGATTGGAGATTGAACCCAGGGCATTCAACCAGTGAGCCACATCCCCAGCCCTATTTTGCGTTTTATTTTATTTAGAGACAGGCTCTCACTGAGTTGCTTAGCACCTCACTTTTGCTGAGGCTAGCTTTGAACTGGAGATCCTCCTGCCTCAACCTCTTGAGCCACTCTTGCATGCTTTTGCATGCAACTGAGCCTTGCAACTGAGCTTTGCATATGCAAGAAATATTCTACAATCCATTGTGTGTGTGTGTGTGTGTGTGTGTGCACGTGCGCACACACGCACATGGGTGGTACTGGAGATTGAACCAAGAGCCTTGTGCATGCTAGGCAAGCACACTACTCTTGAGTTGCCTCTGTAGCCCTGTTTTTAAAAATTATATGTGGTGTGTGTGTGTGTGTGTGTGTGTGTGTATTTTCTTAAGAGGTATCATTTTACTTTTCATATTGAGATGGTAATCATTTCATTATAAATTCTGTAAAATTCAGTGAAAAATGCACATATGATTTAACACATATGAGATAAACAAAGATTGTAAGTATGTATAATCATTACACTAATCTGCTTCTCTTTTTCCAGCTCTTTCAGAAATCATCTACATTTCTTGGCTCATGGCTCCCTTCCTTCATTTTCAAAGCCAGCAATAGTGGTCAAGTAAATCTTGTATCACCATACACTGACCACCTCTTTTTTGCCTTCCTATTTTGCCTTTGAAGCCCTTTGTGATCTAATGGGTCCCCTTGGATAATCCAGGCTAATATCTCTATCTCAAAGTTCTTAACTTATAAAATTATATTTTAAGACAATTTCTTGCTAAGTTATATATATATATATAAAACTTTTAAATCTTCTCAAATATAATTGGCATTATGTAGGGCATTACATAAATTTGATAGACATATAAAATGCTTTTCTAATAATAAAAATGCATGCTTTCCATAAAATCCAAAATCTCACTGCACTTTCAGGTAAATGATTCTGCATGAGATATCAGTCTATTTGGATTGTGTAAAATAATTCAGATTAACTGAACATTCCCTACATCGTTATCAAAACATTTCTATTAAAATAAGTTAATATCTGATTCTATAGGATATATTTTTCAAGCACAACTAGAACTATTTTTTAGATTATACTATTTAGACTTTCAATGTAAAAGAAGATCAGTATGTATTAAAATGATCACATGGAATAATCAGAGTTTAATATTTTAAATCATATCATAACAATTTTTTCCAATTTAAATAAGAGGAAGATTATTAGGTTTTAAACTCTTCCTTAGAGAGAATGGTTCTCTTTTTCCTGAGTCTGGTTGTGTTTTGATTTAATTTTTCAACTCTTTCAACTCTTCATTCCCTATATTTCATTAGTTGTCATCTAAGCCATTTATCAGTGCAGTCATTCACTTGCTGAGAAACATTGCAGAATCCCTTCCAGAGGAAAGGTATTGCTCTCTGCAATGTGGATAAAAATTAGGATAACCAAATATTGATCCTGCCTGAAGTTTCATTTCATTATGAAAGAGAATCAGTTGTGTGCATACCATGTTACGAGTTAGAAACTTGGGTCCTATTCTGACTCCAACTCATTCACATCTCATGGACCCGTGATGTTTTCTCTTAATGAAATTACAAAAACAGGCAATGCTTAAGGAAATTGGAAGAGCATGTGAAAACACTTTAAGCAGAAATGTTCACAAAGTTTAGACAAACTAGAAGGCATGTTAGATGGCTTTTGTGGGTAAGTGGGATTTTATAATCAGAACTAAGTAACAGATATTAGGTATTAGCAAAGGTATATTTCTGTTTAATTCCACAATCCCAAGAGTCATAATGGTTGAGTTTCTGAAAAAAGGCTTCCTGTTTGGAGGATAAAATTGTGTTTGCTTAAGCAAACCTAAGGGTCAAGCAGTTGTGCAGACCTGTTTCTGACTGTAGTTGTAACTTTACCCCAGACCTGTTCTAAAGCACCTGTCATCTTGAAATTATTTTAACTCAAGCTAATTAGAAAAGAGGGGAAAATTAAAACAGAAGGGGAGCAAGTTTCAGTTATTCAAGATGCAAAAGCTCTGACATCTGCCATACTGCAGAGCAAATACAGATAGCAAAACCGTGCTGAACGCTAAACTATTGTCAATCTGGCATACTATGTATTTTTTTTCCAAATAAAAAATGCTATATGACTCATATTTCCCTTGTGTATACTCTTAACCTACAGCTTTAAAATTAATGGTTAAAAACCTTCAAAGCAGTATTTTCTGATTGGTCATTTCACCTTTCATCCTTGGGACTCTAGGTGGCAGGTGCCTCCTTACTTGCTTACCTGCCACTCCTTCTAGACCATTCCTTTCTCTACTCAAGGCATGGAGTTTTGAAATTTAGGTCACTGGTTTCTAATACATCAATGAATTCTATAAACTAGAGCCCTCCCCATGTGTCCCTGAGTACTTTAAACCTGGACTCACTGTCCCTTTTCCAAAACTGTGATGGCCTCATCCAAGCCAATTATCCCTCACTTTACTCTATATCACCTACTGATTCTCATGGCTTAAAATCGTATCTTCCCCAACACACAACTCTTAATGGGCCTTCTCCCTCCAAATTCTGTTTCCCTTGAAGAAATTGAAGATTTTCCCATTTCAATAAATGCACCTTCACTTAAAGAGTGGTGCAGAAAACAAAAACAAAAACAAAACAGTGTCTGGTGTCTACCTCTAATATACATTCATCATCAAACCATTTATCAAGCATTGATATCTCTTACCTGCATGATTAGATGATTGGATGGTTACATGAACACTGTTAGCTGCCTTCCAGCATTATCGCACCTGCCACTATGATCTCTCCTTAATATTGTAGCCAAAACCATCCTGTTACTCCTGTGCTCAAGATTCTCCGATGTCTTCTTATCCAATGACTTTCCATTCACATCGAGGCAGCCTTAGGGAAAGCCATGGTTTTCAGTAGCTGACAAGGATGTCCACATGTTGGCATTTTGGTAAACTCGGCCCCCAATGCCTACTTCTCTCCTTCCCTCATTAGGTTCCTCCAGGCTTGTCTTCATTCTGCATCCCATGCATGGCAGCTTCCTCCCCCTGGGCGGGGGCCTTGTCACTTTTCTCTCTGGGTGGAGTGTTTTCTCCCAAGGCCCACATGCTTACCCCTTCAATAGAGCTCTTACCAATGGCCTGTCTCTCTCTCCAGGGATGTCTCCTTACCATGACAGAACACCTTGGTCCCCTCTTGGCTCCTTCACTGATTTGTTTTTCTCCCTCATCCCCATTCAAGTCACCTGGCAGCCTGATGCTTATTTTCTCTAATTTAAATTTTCTTTTATCCCCACTAATATATATATATGTTTTTTAAAAATGCCTATGTTTATCTTTATGACCTGTCACAGGGATAATTCATGATGAGAATCTCAAAGTTAGATGTCAAGCACAGGAATTAATGAAGGAAGGAAGGAAGGAAGGAAGGAAGGAAGGAAGGAAGGAAGGAAGGAAGGAAGGAAGGAAGGAAGGAAGGAAGGAGTGGCTATCAGGTCTCCTGGCTTTTCCCATGAGGCTTTAGAGCTCATGTCCCTCTCAGTCGCCCACCGTGATTTTCACTAACATGAAAAGCCCAGAGGACAGGGGTGTGTATGTGCCACATACTGAATGTTTTTAATAAATATTTTTGAAAGGAAAAAAATTGGTTTTTTTATTTTAAAATTGTTTTAATTATTTTCTTTGGTTTTTTTATTTTAAATGCTTTAAATAATTCAATGTATAAGAGTTTTATATATAGCTATAGTTTTAAACTTCTCATTCCTTTCTGAAATATTTTAAGAGGGCCTCCTGAGAAAAACAAAGGAAAAGCCATTTTACACAAGAATTCTGATTTGGGCAGTGCTTCTCAGTGTGTGAGTCCAGGCTTCCCTTCCTTGACAACTGACCTTGAGGACACCTTGTTTAACATGATGCCCTGATGTGATCTGGACAGCTTAACAGATGGCTTAGTAATGTTATCTGCCCAAGATGTTGCATTATTCAAATCTCTCACAATGCCTACAAAAGTTCAGTAAAGTTATTAAGTAGAAAAAGAACTTAAGAATCAGTGGTGTGTATTATATAACCACATGACTATCTATGAAATCATGGAGATTAAACAAGGCCAAAATAGAAGACTTCCACATAATATTTTATTGCAAGTAGGTTTCCTGATTCATCTTGATTCATTTTCTTCTGTTATGTGCCAATCTCTTGCAGATTTATAATGATTAGTTCCTAAAAAGAGCTTACACAAATGATTTTCTGATGTCTTCATTTTATAGTATATGTATTTGCATAGAATAAATTATTTACATGTTATTGGTACTCAATTGATATTGGTGAATCAATATAGCAATTTACAAAGAATTTGTGGCAATTTCAATTATCTTATCATTTGTCAACTATTTGAGGCTTTCCTATTTTTTTTTAAATCAGGTTTTATTCTCTAATCTGAATGAAGCACATGTAAGGAACACATCTTCCCTACTCACTATTCAAGGATAAAAACACTAAATGTTAAATAATGTATAGTTTTTTAAAAAATATATATAAGTGCAGCTGATATGTGTGACTTCTTTTTTTAGAAGTCTGTTCTATGGATGGTTTTGGGGTTCCATCATCCTGTTGTGCCATCCTGGCAAACTTGAATTCTTTTCTGAAAAGAAACTGACCTCTTATTGACAGAATTAACAGCAAAAATTTGCTTGGGTTCTAAAACCTATATTCCTGGTTTAAATGCCTGGCATATGAACAGCTTTCCCATCTCCTGTTGTTGGCACCAGTGTTTAAACATCTATCTTTTTGTGCATGTAGCTATGTTAGTCTTCTTTGCTTGTATTCAGTAATTACTTGTGGATTTCAAATCTTTTTCTCTAAGCAATTAGATCCATTAATACACAAGTATTAATGTGTATAATAAAAAGAGAAGTGGCCACTTATAAAGGTCAGTGCCTAGTAAGAGAGAGTAATGAACATTTTAATAAAGTCACATTGGTTATGTAATATGATTTGTGCCATGAAGACAGATCAGGAGAAATTCTTAAATAAGGTATCCAAGGGTGCCTTGGAAACAAATTAAGTCAAGGAGTTAAAGTGGAGGAGTCAGTCACAGGAAATCGGAGGGGCCAGCACCCAGGAAGCTCTCAAGGTGGGTGCTGAGCACTCAAAAGCCAACCACGGTGGTATGTCTCATAGGAGGAGGAAGGTAGTCTGCAATAAAAGAAGGCAGAAGAAGCAGGCAGGGTTCAGAACCTGGAAAACTGTGTCGGCCTTAATGAGGAGCTTGCATTTTATTTCAAATGAGAATTGTTTGCACAGAAGATAAGCACAGGTGTACCATGATTAGAACTAGGGTTAAATGATTTTGCTGGCTTGTGTGAGGAGGAAACTTTTGAGGGGCCAGAGGTGGGAGAAGCATGGAAGACATTAGGACAGGGTTTCCAGTGACTGAGGGTGGTCTTGAGTAGAAGCCAGGAAGGGAAATTGTGGTCAGAATTAGGAGCAGAAACAGAGGAAGTGACCAGGAATGGACACTGAGGTGGGAACCAGGAGGGGACACTAAAGTGGAGACCAGGAAGGAAACTGAGGTAGGTATAGGGGCTGGGAAGAAACTGGGACAGTAACCCGGAGTGAGAAATAAAACTGACTGAAAGATGCCAGGTTTTGTTTGAGCCAAGAATGAAAGATGTGAAGTATTAGCGGCAGGGAGAGTAAGAGGAGAAATAATAAATTTTAACGCTTCAGTGTGTGATTTAAGTAACTAGATTGGTTCTCTAAGCAGTTCATGAACTCAAATCCCACTTGTCTGTATTTTTGTCACATCCTCAGCCCACTCATTGCTTGTCAAAGAGAAGTTACAAAGAGCATTCCCTGCTTTGGCATGGTTCCAGAGAGGTTCCCAGTGAGGGTGGGACCCAGAACCCTCACTGTCTTCTTCCTAGGTAATGGCGCCTCCTCCACCCCTGGTAATCCACTTCCAATCCACTGGCACACATTGGACTTATCTCACTTGGTGACCAAAACATTTTATATATTTTTTTTAAATTTTTTATTTTTTTTATTGGTTGTTCACAACATTACAAAGCTCTTGACATATCATATTTCATACATTAGATTGAAGTGGGTTATGAACTCCCAATTTTACCCCAAATGCAGATTGCAGAATCACATCAGTTACACATCCACAATTTTACATAATGCCCAATTAGTAATTGTTGTATTCTGCTACCTTTCCTAAACATTTTAAGTCCAAGGTGAATGGGAGGAGGTAAGCTTCTGCCTGAGCCTGCAGGCGCAGTGATGTGTCAGAGTCAGCTTTGTGACCCTCTGCAGTTGTCATAAGTAGCTGTTTTCCATGATTCAGAATATAGTAGGAAGAGATAGATACATTGTAACAAACACTTTAAGTGTTACAATTTAACTCCCTTATCTATGCTTTTAAAGAGTTACCTCATACACTGATCCTCTGCCTTTCCAACTGTGTGACTTTGGTTAATGAGAAGATAGTAAATGTGAGACTAGCAGAAACTCACTGTGTTCTAGACTGTCTGAGCTGGTGAACAACAGACTTGCACCCAATAAATATTTCTTGAGCCAATGCATTTATTGTTGGATGGAATAAACACTTAGTTTTGTTTTACTTCTAAATTAAGTATGATTAAAATTTCTGTTACAAAAATGGAAATACAAGTTAAAGACAGGCTTATAATAAGTATGCCATATGTATTTTTTCAAACTAAATTTGTCAGGGATTTGATTGGATCAATTCATGTTAACTTTATCTTTCTATCCAGATATCTTTACTCTATCTGCCACACCCCAAATACATCCTTTTGCTCAAATAATTGATAATAAAGTTAACTTAATTTAAAATGTGTGTTCCAAAGGAAGCTTCCTTATATAATAAATAAGTACTATAAACATGTTTCCTATGTTGTCTGAAAGACCATTCCAAATATATGAGATGCTCAGCACAAAATTTTATCTGTAACATGTATTGACTAAATATATTCCCTCAACTTTTCATGATTGAATAACAACTGCTTACCTGTTCTATTGACTATTTCCATTGAGATTAAAGGCATTAAATACTACTATTTGAAATTGAACAGGCATTGATTAGCAACTCAAAATTATGCCACTTTCTACAAAGTATAATCAGGACTTTCAAAATAATTAATAATCTACTATCAAAATTCAATATTGAAAAGATGCAAGAGCTGATAAAAAACTTAAGGACTAATTTTTATTCACACCCATAAATTTAGAGTACAGAAACATTGATCACATAATTTAGTGTACTTACTGCAAGAAACTTCCTATAAACTAAACTTCACTTTGCAATTGAAGATCTGAATCATGAAAGTTGAATTAACACCCCATGATTTTACTTTAAGGGCAATGCTTGGCTTAGAAATCAGCTATCTCAGCTTCTATCTCTTCCTACTATATTCTTATTTTATTGAATATAGATTAATTTCATAAAAATGTTAGGAAACTAAAATTAAACATGCATATTTCAGTAAGCTAAGATGAAAAACATCTGACCAGACCAAAAAACCTTTTGGACCTGTTATGATTTTAAAATTTGTCTTTTGGATCATTGGGTAGCCCTTATCTCTCTCCCTCTCTCCCTACAATATGTATCAAAATTGTTTCATGGGTTTAGAAAGTATCTATGGTGAGTAGGTATTTAATTTTACAACATTGTTAAGTGTTATTTTGTAGCATTTGAAAACTATACTCAAAAGTGATGTTATAATAATTCTACTATAAGGTTTAACCAGATATTTGTATTATATACTCTATACACTCTGTGACTCAACCAATTTTTGGAAAATTTGTTCTTATTCACAAGTCTTCTCCTACTGGAGCATCTCAGGATTTCAAAGCTCAGGTAGGTCTCTTCAA